GGCGCCCGCGGGGCGGGCCGGGCCGTGACGCGGCGCGTGCGCCAGGCGCCGTCCACGCGGCTCCGCTTCCGGCGCGCGCGGCTCGGGCCGCTTTCTAGGTYTCCTTTACTATTATTATTATTTTATTGTTCCCGAGGTTTCTAAGCTGCTCCCGGGGCAGCCATGACGCGCTGGGCTCGCAAGGGCGCCGCYGAGGGCGGCAGAGCGCTGGCTGCGACCCCCTGGGAGCAGATGGTAACGGGCTCCGGCGGGGAGGCGCGGGCCGGCGGGAGCCGCGCGCATCCCCCCCGGTTAAACCGGGAGCAGGAGAAGAAGAAGAAGAACAAGAAGAAAAAGGACTACGAGAACGCGGACGTCAACGGGTTCCTGGAGTACCTGGAGGCGGCGGGCGGCGGCGCGGCGCGGCCGGAGGCGGCCCGGGCCCTGCGCAAGGACGAGCGCCGCGAGGCGAGGCGGCTGCGGCGGCGGGAGGCGCGGAGCAGAGCCATGGTGAGCGGGTTAGGAGCCGCGCCGCGGGGAGCGGGTTAGGAGCCGNGGAGCCGCGCCGCGGGGAGCGGGTTAGGAGCCGCGCCGCGGGGAGCGGGCCCAGCGCCCTGCGGGTCCGTCAGGCAGTGGGGGGAGCCGCGCCGCTGCTCGCAGCACCCCACGTGCTGCCGCAGGGCCTCTTGAGTTGGTAACAAAAGCTTAAGCGGCCCCGCTCTAAAAGGGGGAATTTCAGCTTAAGCTTCTACCTCCACAAAGGCTCTTCAGGACAGGCTGCCCAGACCACCTCCTTCTCTAGGTGGATGTAGCTCGGGGCATCTCCTCACATAATGCACCTGCACAATATTCCCATGCAGCTTTGTACTTCCTTACTCTTTGGGGCCTCTGGCTGCAGCATCCTCTGCTTGAGGCCTGGAGTGATTTCTGCAGCTAACTCTGACCCTGGGTGGAAGCAGCTCCGTGTTTGCAAGTAGCACCCTTGCAAGCAGCACCCTTTTCAAGTAGCAAGTGTCATGTGTGCAGTAGCGAGGAGGTCTGTACTTTGGCTTTGCTTGTTTGTAAGGGACTGGTGCAACATTTGTTGTGTTCATGCTAGCACTTACAGCAGTAGTGCTTAAAGAATTTGGGGAATTGTGCTATGATTGAAGCCAAGTATTATCCTTGAGCTATGGAGTACGGCCTTGATGAGTGGATGAGTGGAATATATATATAAAATGCTGAACTATGAAGAAAGAAAAAAAAAGGACCTGTAGCGGTGATGTTTAGTGGCTTAGACCACCAGTGTTGCCTTGTGATGTGCAGGGCTGTCTTGTGTGTCTAACTTCTTAAGGTACTTTATCCCTGAGAGAAGGTCCATGGGTATTTCTGTCTCTGGAAAGCCCRGAGGCTTTAATATACTAAGGAATTTCCTGTCTTTGAGGGCTGTTTATGAAGTCTTACAATTTAAGCTTACTTTTCACATTACTTCAGTTCTCAGTAGTAGAGATGTGTATTTGKTACAAATAGAGAAGTATTTGGTGATTCCCACAGGGGTCTTGGCCAAGAGAATAATGGTTTAGTGAAAACCTGCTCAACGTAAGTGCTAATTATATATTAGGGGTAGGTGACTTCTTTARGAATGAAGTCTTTGGCTTTGTGAGCTGCCCATGAAAACGTATGTAACAATTTTTATTTTCGAAGGTGTGTTTCCACTGTAGAGAGTCYGGCCATGGGATGGCTGATTGCCCAGCTGTACTCCAAAGTGAAGATATGGGTACAGGAATCTGTTACCGCTGTGGATCCACAGAGCATGAAATCACCAAGTGCAAAGCAAAAGTAGATCCAGCTGTTGGTAAGATTCCGAAATTTTTATTTCTCAAAGTGCTTTGTGCAGGTTTTCTGACTACTGAAACAGGGGCTTTACTTTTTGGTAAGTTAACTGTTCGGAGGATTAAAGCAACATATTTCAAGGAATACACAACTTTAACTATGACTATTACAGTGTATAGCAAGTTAGTATTATAATGTATTTTCTAGGAAAAATTACAACTTTTCAGAGTTCTTAATCTACATCATAAACTGTATGGGATTTTACAGGACCATTTCCATATGCAAAATGTTTTATCTGTGGTGAGATGGGGCATCTTTCAAGGTCGTGTCCAGATAATCCCAAAGGATTATATGCTGAAGGTGAGTGTAACATTTTTTTATTGCAGTAGAAACATTAATTTTATGCTTATCTAAGGAGGAACAGGTTCATGTACGGTACTGGAAGTGAATGGAGAGTTCTGCTAGAACAAATTTCTCAATATCTTTTACTACGGATAAAAGTACATGTCAGTTCAGGGGGAGTCTAACATTAATCTTGATTACCTGTGAATTTCTGCTTTAATTGTACGCTTAAGCAAGCAGCTCACATCCAGAGCAGGCAGACTTACTCATCCTTGCCATTTCCACAGGAGCAGGAAGTAGTGCTAACTAGGTATCACATGTTACAGTGGAGAAGGGCAGTACAAGCTGAGGACATCTCACAAACTGAAAAAGGTGATTTTAAAACACCATTAAATTGAAGACCACTAAACCAGTTCAGAGATAGTGCACTCTTTTTAAGTGCTTAGACGATGAGTAAAGTGATTCTGTGATTCCCTGTGATTCTGTGAAAAATGATATTTCACTCAGTWCCTCTACTTGGATTACATACCTAGCAGCAGCTCCTATTACTTTCAAACTTAGTTTGCATGATTTTGTTTCTGCAGAATGCAGATTCTTTTCTCTCAAAGACAGTGTCTAAGAAATGTGCAGTATTCAGTGTGTGCTCTTTGACAGTTTGGAGCTTTACAGAGCACTGTGGTTAGTAATGGCTCAGAGACACTGATAGAGGGCAAGATAGTGGTGTGTGTGTGTGTGTGTGTGTGTGTGTGTGTGTGTGTGTGCGCGCATGCGCGCAGGCTCCTGTGTGCTGGCTGCTGATCTGCTCCTCTGGGTCACGTTACTGTGCCTACACATGTGGACTATCTAAAGGGCCAGCTCTATATCGTGGCTTGTACTGATCCTGGAGTGTGGAGTGTGTACAGAATTTGTCGCTACAAAACAGTGAARCAAGACTTCACAGCATACACAGAGGAGTGAAATAAATCCCCTCTGGATGAATGAAAACTTTCTCTTTTAAAAGGTGGCTGCTGCAGACTTTGTGGCTCCGTGGAGCACTTCAGGAAAGACTGCCCAGAAAACCAGAACTCAGGTGAGATGCAAGGGAGCGACACGCAGGGGAGTTTGAGTGCACATCTGAATAATTTGCATTTACTACTTTGCTTGGCTGTGGTCAGGAAAGAAGAGGGCTGAAATCGTGCCTGAAAATCCAAGGGTGACTTTCCCTTGGGAATGTGCACATGTAGTAAGGCGGGGGAGGGGAAGTTGCTGTGCCAAATTTGAACTTCTAATTAAAAAAAACCCTATGTTTTGAAGATACTATGAGATAGAGTGTATTTGTTAATGATGGTAGTACTTAGTCTTGCCCTAAAATTGTCTTTTATTTTACAGATCATGTTACGCTTGGGCGATGGGCCAGTGGAATGAGTGCAGATTCTGAAGATATGATAGAAACACCAAAGCTGCAAAAAACAAAAGTGAAAGGACCTAAAATTGTTAATTTCTGAAGGGGACTCTTGCACAGCAAGCTGCAGTAACCCTGCATTGCTTCACTACAGAACAGTGACCACTGGATTGCTGGATCCAGCAAATCTGCCACGCTGATGCTGCTAAATTTTCTTTTGTATTCCTAATTTGCCTCCCACACTTGCTCAGCTTAGTGAAAAGCTGGGGGCAACAGATACGCAGCAGGCAGATGCCTTGTTTTTCTGTGTTTATGAGAAACACAACTCTCCCTYTCACTGCCAGCCCTCTGAAGAGGGAAATCCCAACGCAGGGATCTCGGTGTAAACACACAGGGCTTTCTCACAGGGCTGTTTGACCACTGGGTTCAGGTGACCAGTAGTGTGGCCTTAGGCGACTGCTTGCGTGTCAGAGATGAAGGCAAGCAGGCTGCTGTTACCAACTTGTTCTACATTTCTGTCTAAAAGATCTTGTGTATTTCCTGAGCACAGTTGTTGGGTTCTAATTAGGTAGTTTGGACTTCTGGTTTTAGAAGGGATTTCTTGCTCTTCAGGTGCAAGTGTGAACAGTTTGATAGCAAAGGTGTCAGGCAAATCCTACAGCCTCAATATACAGGCTGTCATACATGATAGATCAGCTCCATCCGTGAGCTCATTAATGGCAGTGTGTGTGTCACTAAGAGGAGCACAAGCAGGCCCTCCCTGTATTTAGCCATGGCAAAATACAGGTGAAAACAGTTGGAGAGCAAGGAAGCTGCTTGGTTGTTTTCCCTCCTTTCCCCCCCACCAGGGAAAGTGTTCAAGAAATCTTGTTTTTTAAATTTAAATTTTTTAATTTTTAAATGGAGACTAAGCCTGTATTTGCAAAACTGATTAAATGTTATCAGTGTTACTTGAGGCAACTCACTCAAAATGAAGTTCCTGCCTTAGATCTCCAAATACTGGTAATTCAGGCACTGGATCCAACACTGATAGTCCTTTTTCTTGTGTCTGATCATGCCAGACTGGATTTTCTTAACTCCATGGAACCAGAGGAACACGGTTACTAGAGAAGTGCACCTAAGCTGAGCTCCTTTGCCCTGTTTCAGCCTGAGCCCTGTCTTGGCTCATCCCTGAGCAGCAGTGCAGGGTGCTGTTTACATTACCCGTACTGTGCTTCTCTGCCCTGTGCAGACACGTGCCACAGACCTGGAGATTGGGCTCTTAGTGTTGTGCTGGTGGTTGCCATGGGGCAAACACGGTACCACTTTGCGCTGCCATATCCCCAATATGTGCCTTCCTGAAAGCTGACCTTGCCTGAGCCAGTAACAGGCACCAGTAGCTGAGGGAACGCACAGTGATAAAGCCATGGGCTGAGCAGAATCAGTATCTCCTTCCAATGGAAGTGTGAAACGGCCKTAAGGAGGCCTTGCTGCACAGGGCAGTAGTACTGGGGCATCAGCTGAGTTCAGGGCTTTCAGGGGCTGAGGAACAGGCASTGAAGCTACAGGTTTAGAATGCCAAGAACAAATGCAGGGATATAATTCTCTAGATACTTTTTGTATTTGCACTGTTTTAATAAAATGCTGGCCAATACAGTAGTCAGTGCTCCTACTTCAGGCTTCCTCGCTCTGCTCAGGATGTAAAGGCACCTAAGCTGACAAAGCTAGAGTATGTTCAGTTTATAGTAGCTGGAGCTCACATTTAAATGGGGGAGTGGGAATGGATTAAATCAAGGAGCTTAATTACAGAGCTCCAAATCAACTGTTGGAAGTAATAGTGCTTTGAACAGTGCAGCAGACCTGGATTTAGCTTAAATAGATGTTTCTATTGATGTAAAAAATTTCAGTTAAGCCTCCCCCAGCTGATGTTGGTGCCTGCCACCTGCCTCAAGGGAGAGTGCTAGAAGTATCCCCTCTCTTCAGGATGGGGTTGCAGGTTTCCTTGTAGTGCCAGTCCCTGGGTGCAATAGCACTGGGTTCCTTTGATCCATGTTGTACTCCAGAACCCTTGCCAGGCTCCTGCCACTAACTGCTGTGCTGCTGCTGTCTGCCAAGCAGGGACAGGTCCCCCYGCCCCTCAGCCTTGCAAGGCCGCGTGGCGGGGCTCCAGGAGGTGCTCAGGACCACGGGAACAGCCATTCAGGTAATCACAACATGTKCCTACAGGGGCCAGGTAACTGGAAGGAAGTTTTGCCTTTTATTCCTGTTCTCTGCTCCTGAGGAGAAGGACAYGGTGAAAAGGTCTGCACTGCATTCCTTATAACACCAGTGAAGAGCTTTACATGTTGAGGCTCCACTTTAGTGACTGATTTGCTAAATTTGCCTGCTAATAAATACTCCCTTTGAGTGCACAAAGGCATGTGTAGTTACAAGAACGCTATTTGAAAAGCTCTTGCAGAAGCTGCCTGTAAAGATATGCTTGTACCTGCAAGCAAATCCCAAAGTTAGACAAATAATTAGAATTTAAGGAAAACCTTRTGCTAGCAGAAGCCTCCTGAATCTCCTGTCTTAGAAGCTGACTAGCATTTATGGTAGTCTTTAGGCTACATAGAAAAGACACAGTTACCTGCACAGCTCTGGCTGCATTCACACAGAGATGCGATGCCTGTGTGCCCTGGTCAGAAGGATGAAGCTGCTGGCCAGAATTAGGCAGCTGTGCTTTCCCAGGGATGTCGGTGTTTTGTTGACACCAAATGTAACAATATTTGATTTAAAAAAATTTAAAAAAAAAAACCAAAACAAACACACAAACCAACCTAACACCACGCATACTASCTAGGCCAGACCCTCCCCTCAGTGTATTAGGAGGCAGGTGATGTACTTGGCAGCAGCAGAGCTTGGGCACGCGGAGCTCTGTGCGCGAGTTCGGAGCTGAACATTAGGTGTCTCTGCTCACTAACGCTTGGGCCCGCAGAGCCTCCCTGTCCTTGGCGGGGCTCCCTGCCACGGTGCAGGCAATGGGGCTASAGCACATGCAGCGAGAGCCCCGGCCCTGCGGGGCTTACAGGCCAGGGCTGCTCCTAGAGGGCCGGCGCAGCGGGCAGGGCAGGCTGCGCAGGGTCTCTGCTCCGGCAAGGCTGCCGCTGTACCTGGTCCTTGCACTCRAGTACGGCACTCGACGCGTGCGGTGGAAGCCGCGCCGCACTCACACGTCCGATCCAGACCCAGCGTCGCTCCTTAGGAACCAGAGAGGAGTGTCTGTCCCGCTGGCTTGTCACAAGTGAGAACAGGGCCTTATGTTATTATACGGAGGGCAGGGGCCAGTCTTCCCAGGAGCCAGAGAAGAGAGGTCCTGCTGCCTTGGTTCAAGGCCGTGGTCTACCAAAAGCAAATGAGTCTTGCTGAGAGGCCAGGTGACTCATCCCACTAACATGCCTGATGGCTTCCAGGACACAGCTGGTGTCTCTTCTACTGCCCTTGGTAGACAAGACATGTGCAAAACTGAGCTATACTGGAACCCATATATCATTAGCAGGGCTTTAAGTCGGTGCCAGATTTAATTMAAGAACTACTGCCTTTAGTGGGAACTGAATCAGACCTCCAGAGCTCTGGCTGTATTACTTGGTAGACTACAGTAACATGATGGCCATAGTTCCCAGTCTCCAGTCCTTTCAGTTCTCCCAGCCCTCGGCAATTCATGTTCTGATCTAATTGCTCTCTTACTTGCTATCTTTTTTTTTTCTTTTTTTTTTGGCACTTCTGCAATTTCTGCAGAAGCCATTCTGCAGCTCTTCCAGACAGATTGGTAGTAGAAATCACAATGTATCTGTAACCTGAGAAACAATCATTTATTGGAAGTCACAGGTAAGTAAACATTACCAGCTAAGGAATAAAGTGCTATTACTGTTATTCATTTGTTTTTTTCTGCTTGTAAAATATTGGCTTTATAACACACCAGCCAGTGGTAAAGCTGCTGCCACCCTGCCTAGTCATTTACAGCCTGAGGAATGGCTCTGAGGTGAGACTAAGAGCTTTCACTTTCTRCAGTTTAATAGACTTACATAAGGCCTGGGCAGGGTCCTGAGCAGCCAGACCAGAGCACAGTAAGTTGTGTAGTTGCATCAGTTAACTGAGATCTGTCACTACCTCTGTCTAACCACTGACGGGACTGCATTAGATTCAATAATCATCATACAATGGTGACAGTCTCCTGATACACAGACCTACTGGGCTAAAGTCTGCCTCTTTTTATACCAAATTAATGCAATTAAGAGCAGCATCTTTCATCTCTTTAAAATTAAAAAGTTGAATTTAGAACCTAAATCCTAAATCAACAGGAAGTGCAAGTGCTAGATATTCTGAGGCTCACACTAAAAATCATGTGCACGACCCAACGTAACCAGCCTGCAGAACAACGATCAACRCCTAAGCAGGAGCCTAAACCGGTACCGCTTGATCACCTCAGGARCAGGTTTCTGAAGAAGACTCCAGGCTTCAGTCCTTGCTGCCTTCCAGCTCCAAGAACTTCACACAAGCCACCGCAGTGTCCTCTATGGATTTGGAGGCGCCGGTGAGATTTGCAGCCAAGTGAGGCAGAACACCTGATGTCACTTGATTGAAGTAACACACCTATTAAAACAACAGTACATGAAACTCACAAGCACACAGATGGCAACGGCCATTTCCACACTGCCTATATAATGATCWAAGTAGCTCTGGATGAGAATAAAAGCGCTATTAAACTGGAGGAAAGAGCATGACTTCTTCTTGCAATAATTTAGTGATCTTGGTGTCCTCAAGCATGCAGGTAATTGCATGGAGCAGTGGATCAAAAAACATGAAGTCCACATGGGCTTTATGAACAAAGATGTTGCCTTTGGAAAGAACCACACTCTCTGGGCACTGCTGAGTATTTTCAGAAGCATATTTTCTTAAGTGAAAAGGTTATAACTTACTGTTGGGAAAGAACAGAAGGAGAAGCAATAATTTGCCTAGGGATGGGATTCTGCTTGCATAATTTCTGACACACAGAAGTTAAGCATTTAGTCTGAACTGATTCCTTGGGTTTTCTCTATAGCCAGTGAAGAGGCATATGTGCTACAGACCAGTTTAACACACACCTTTTGGAAGCATCATTTTAGGGCTGAATGAACTGCCCTGGTCTCCAGCATCTAGCTCCAACATCCTCCCTAGTTTGTACATGACCAAGCAGGGCTAGCTAAATCCCACCTTGCGGGATACAGACCATCTTAATAGCCACACTCTGGAACTCTGGGGAGACTCATTGCTGCTGCGCTCCTGTTTTCTGCAGCAGCAGGGTGTGAGCTCAAAGGAGAGCGYGTGCACGTGGCCAGGAGAGGCCGGCGGGGCGGCCGAGCTGCTCACCACGCACGAGCTGCTGCTCTCGCTGTGGATCTGGAATCCAGCGCAAGGCACTTCGATCCTGCAGTGCTCCGGGGAAGGCGGCAGGGACGCCAGCGTAACCGACCTCACTGCTACGACGTAGGGTTCACTGCAGGGCAAGCGTGAGAATCAAACATCTCCTCAGCAACATACTGAAAAAAATATCTGTAAAGGACCAGAACTAGAGAATATGCAATTTCTTTACACTGAAATACACGACTAGCTATACTAGGGATGTCATTTCATACGAAGGCAAACAAACCCCTGTATGTTTAGAGACACAACTCCCCTCAAAAGGCCTATGCCTGCATGCAGGGACACTCTATGGAAAGCCACACAGCGACCACCCATG